TGCTGCCTGGCTGTATATAGGGGTCTGCGTAACCCTGGGTGTCCCGTTCCGCGTAGGGGGGGCTCTACGTGTAACCCCGGGGCGTCCACGTCCCTACGGGGGGGCCTATAAAAGTCCTGGGTACCAGCTCTATATAGGGGTGCGTATAACCCCTGGTGTCCGGCTCTCTATAGGGGGTGTATGCAACACCTGGATGTTCTGCTCCGTATAAGGGTATATACAGCTCCTGGGTGTCCCGCCCTGTATAGGAGCTTTACGTGGGGGGTATATACAGCTCCTGGGTGTCCCGCCCTGTATAGGAGCTTTACGTGGGGGGTATATACAGCTCTGGGTGTCCCGCCCTGTATAGGAGCTTTACGTGGGGGGTATATACAGCTCCTGGGTGTCCCGCCCTGTATAGGAGCTTTACGTGGGGGGTATATACAGCTCCTGGGTGTCCTGCCCTGTACGAGGGTATACATAACACCTGGGTGTCCAGCTCGCTATAGGGATATATATAAGTCCCAGGGGCCCAGCTCTGTACTACAGGGGCTGTATATAACCCCTGGGCGTCCTCCTCTGCGTAGGGGTAACTCCTGGTGCCCTGCTCTCCATAAGGGTATAGATAACGCCCGGTGTCCAAAGGGCGTATATAAGCCCCGGCTGCCCGGCTGTCTGTAGGGGATGTATATTAACACCTGGATGGCTGCCTCTGTACAGGGTTATATATAACCCCTGGGCGCCCAGCTCTGTATAGGGGCTGTATATAACCCTGGGTATCCAGCTCTATACGGGGAGTAATGAAACACTGGATGCCTGATGGTGTATAGGGGTTATATATAACCCCTGGGCGTCCTGCCCTGTGTAAGGGCATAGATAACCTCTGCTGTCCAGCTCTATAGAGGGGTATATAGCGCTTGGCCGTGTCCAGTTCTCTTTAGGGGTGCATATAAGCCCTGGGTCCCCAGCTGGGTACGGGATGCGTATGTAACCCCCAGCTCCCCAGCCCCATATAGGGCTATATGTAACCCCTGGGAGTCCGGCCCTGTATAGGGGTAACCTCCGGATCCCCAGCCCCCTTATGGGGGTATATGTAACCCCTGGGAGTCCAGCCCCCTATAGGGGTAACCCCCAGCTCCCCAGCCCTGTATAGGGCTATATGTAACCCCCTGGGAGTCCAGCCCCCTATAGGGGTAACCCCCAGCTCCCCAGCCCCGTATAGGGCTATATGTATTACCTCCCTATTGGGGTAACCCCCAGCTCCCCAGCCCCGTATAGGGCTATATGTAACCCCCGGGACTCCAGCCCCCTATAGGGGTAACCCCGAGCTCCCCAGCCCTGTATAGGGCTATATGTAACCCCTTGGGAGTCCAGCCCCCTATAGGGGTAACCCCCGGCTCCCCAGCCCCGTATAGGGCTATATGTATTACCCCC